CCCCAAAACCCCAAAACCCCGCATATGTGAATTATTATTTTAAGTAAAAAATTGAGTTATTAAATCAAATTTAGGAGGATTATGCAAGATGAGAAGGTATTTTTTCGCCATATAAAAAAATATTCTAAATATCGACATTAGGTTCTTGATGTTCCGTATCTCCAAACTCTTTCATTCTGTTGTCCATATCTATGAACTTTACTGTTACAAATCTACATGCTATCTTTTAGTGAAATTTCTAAGATTGTATTTAAAAATAATAAATCTTACAATGGTAGTATTCAGAGTTGCTCTGTTAACAAATTTAGTCCAGAGAATTAATCTTAAGGGATTTTTTATATTAAATGTTTTTTCACTATCAAGGTACATCGATTGATCAAATATGACAGTTGCATTTTACATTGCTAAGCCATTTTCTTCATTCAAAGAACAGTGGTAAAATTTTGGTATGATATCAGGATACTTATTTCTCAATTCTATCAGGTCTTTGATTGTAATACAATTATCAAGTAGCTTCACAGTCTCATTTTCAAAGTAATCTATATCTTGATTATGAACAAATACTGCTAAAGTTTTTGCAGGGCATGTAAAATTTTGAGGCAAGTTGATTTTGATTTAATCTATAAGATAATATACTGGTTCGCAATCATGTATTTATTTCTTATGCCTTAGCTCATAGTAGTGATTGTTTTTGTGTTTCATCTCCTACATTACAGCATTATCAATATTTTGATGATCACCGTACACAAACAAACTATTAAATTCCTTTCCTTCATTAGAATATTGCAATGCCCTTTTTATGATTTCTTCCTTCAGCTAAGTCTCTGAAGTTATTATCATCTCCTTTTTAATTAGATGAGTAATTGGTTTTAGTAGCCATTCCCTATATTATGCTTATTCATAAAAAGTTTCTGGTGCAATTTGTTAAAACTACATAAAAACTCTCATTTAGAGAAGACATTTCATTTCTTTCTGATGAAAATCTCTCTTTATACTCTTTAGATCCATTCCCATAAAAAATTAGACCTTTTTTTCTACATTAGCTAAAAGCTAATCAAGATCTTCATTTAAGAAGACTCCTGTGGCCAAAATGTTTTTGGCAATATCCGAGGAAAAAGCTTAGTGATGGCCAGAATGAGGAATAAATAGATTACTCACACTTAATCTCGAACTCATTTTATCAACTCCTCCACTTGTCTTGAAACCAAAAATTCTATGATACTATGGACTCCACCACTTCAATTTCTACTCGTAAACTTACAAACAATTCTCAAAGTCATCATAGAATGAATTAAGCTTGTCCTCTATTTTACCACATCTATCATTGCTAAGATCATTCCTCTCAACATTTTAATTACGATTGTTCTATTATTTTTGATCAATTTCCTTGCGAATATTCTAGAAATACTCCTTATCTGCTTAAAAATCATTAATTATTCCGAGCTCTCTTTTTATCATTCTTTTTAGCTAATTCTACCCATACTCTGAATATCTTATAGTTTAGATAAAATGCTTGCCAGTAAATATTAATGGGATGGCATCCTAGAGTTCTAAGTAGTCAATTATGTGGAATATTATGTATCGACTAAAGTTCTAAATTTTATAGCTACTTTGAGAGTACATTTTTTAAGTTGAAATCTGAATATGATTCATTATTTGATTTTTAAATTAATATTTATGATTACAAATTATTTTCTTAAATTATAAATTATTTATAATCCCTTCAATTTTATGCAAATAGTCATTATGGGGTTTTGGGGTTTTGGGGTTTTGGGGTTTTGGGG